CGTCGATTGCAGCAGTAAACACGGTTTATGTCGTCTATGGAATCAATTCGCCGGGAGATTACATTGTGTGAGGCTTGGTTAGCAGCCACCTCACGCCGGGACACCAATGCATGAAGTAATACAGAGTCCTTGGCTTTATAATCAGCGCCAGAAATAGGAGAACGAGTATCACCCTTTAGCTGTATCTGGCACTTGGGGCTACACTGTGCAGGTCTGGTCCCTGTACTACAGCTGTATCTGGCACTTGGGGCTACACTGTGCTGGTCTGGTCCCTGTGCTACAGCTGTATCTGGTACTTGGGGCTATACTGTGCAGGTCTGGTCCCTGTGCTACAGCTGTATCTGGCACTTGGGGCTACACTGTGCAGGTCTGGTCCCTGTGCTACAGCTGTATCTGGCACTGGTGAGGCCGCACTTGGGCTACAGGTGTGGTCCCCGTACTGCAAAAGGGACGTAACGTTAGACAAAAGTACAGAGAAGGACAATACTGATAACTGGTATCGGGGACCCTTTCTGTGAGGACAGGTTGAAGAGTTTCAATGTGCACTCGCTAGAGCGACGCAGGACAAGTGGGAGGAGGGAGATATCATCATGGTATACAAGTGAGTTAGGAACATAAACAAGGGGATATAAACGGGGTTCTGCACGTCAACAGATCAGAACTCACAAAACTGGGTTCAAGCTGGAGAAATTGCATTTCTTGAGGGATGTATGGGAAGCACAGGTTGACAAATAGGGTTGAGAATGAGTGCAATGAGCTGTCGGCTGGCATTGTTGAGACAACCAGTTAAACAGGTTTCAATAATAGATTCAATAGGCATATCTTCAGGTTATCTTGAGACGATTTCGGGGCTTTTAGTGTCCCCGCGGCCCGGTCCTCGACCAGGCCTCCACCCCCAGGAAGCAGCCCATGACAGCTGACTAACACCCAGGTACCTATTTTACTGTTAGGTAACAGGGGCATAGAGTGAAAGAAACTCTGCCCATTGTTTCTCGCCGGCGCCTAAGATCGAACCCAGGACCACAGGATCACAAGTCCAGCGTGCTGTCCGCTCGGCCGACCGGCTCCCTTATATAGATAAGGGGGTGGACTTAGCATGAACTAACAGCCTTTGCGGTGGTGTGCCTTCATGTCTTCTTAAGTGTAGGCCACGGCACGTAGCCCCAGGCCACGGGATCGACTATATCGTTTCAAGTAGTGCGTCAAACTGAGAGTATTAATAGGAAGATCTTCGAAGATCTTCGGAGGCAGGAAGATCTGCCTCCGAAGAACCTAGTTCAGCTAGGAGTCTCTATAATCCCTAAGAGCTGCTGATGATCCCTCGAGTGACTTCAGTCACTGGAGGAGTCGAGCAGTGATGGTGATCAGGGGGTCAGATCCGGGGGTCAAGGACCCCCTCTTGGGGCTCTGTGAATAGGCTTCAGGGGCACCAGCAAAGCTAAAGTAGCACCTTACGTCTTCTCCTCCTAAAAATACAGAGAACAGTGTGGATGCCTTATCCTAAGGAGACAAGATATGAAAAGACTGGAACCCGACATAGAAGGCAAGATATGAAAAGACTGGAACCCGACATAAAAGGCAAGATATGAAAAGACTGGAGTCTAAAGATGTGTGATCAGAGTGACTGTGATCGAGAATTGCCCCAAAATCTGTTAATGTACAATGTTGAGGTTGTGCACGTCTACACCCTCAATTTTGGGCAATATACAAATTATATCCTATGTCTGTTGGCCCATATTACCACACTATTATAAGGTGGCTTATAAATATAGAGACCCACATCTAGAGACATGATGAATGGCTGTTGATGTGGGTTTGATGAATCCTCTCTCATTCCTTGATGAATCTTCTCTCATTCCTCATTCCCCATGATGAATCTTCTCTCATTCCTCATTCCCCACGATGAATCTTCTCTCATTTCTTGATGTTCTCTCAAGGAATGAGAGAGGGACTGTAAAACACCTCCTCGAGGGAGCGGATAATTCAAATTCCGCCAACAAAATATCTAATTCTGCAAGCAAAAAAATTTAATTCCTACAAAAAAAAATCCAAATTCTCCAACAAAAAATTCCAAATTGTCTAACAAGAAAAATCCAATTCCGCCAACAAAAAATAATCCCATTTCCGTCAACAATAAAGTTTCTATCCCGCCAATATATAAATACAATAATATAAAATCTATAAAATATAGATGTTTACAAAAGGATACATACAGTTGTTCACTAAAATATACATACAAGTGTTCACAAAACTGTTCATATAGGTAATTACAAAAATATACATACAGGTATTCATTGAAAGATTCTACCATTGTTGAAAAGAACATACATACAGGTGTTTTAAGAAAAGATACATCTTGTGCCCCGAAAAAAGGAAGATACTTGCATACAGATACTCCCATACAAGTGTCCCTCAACATATCTACTCGCAGATACTCACAAAGACGTCAACATCGAGGTAAAAAAATCTCACGGTTGTATTAGTCTCTGTTTTCCCCTTGGCACTGAGTGACCAGTGAGCCCAGGCAATCTGAGTGAGTCAAGGGATCCTAGTCGTGATCTCCTCGTCTCTATTAATGCCTGAGTGCTGGCTAATGACAAGCTTGTCACCCGCTCCACGTTAATGACGCGCTCTCCTGTTTGTTGACATGCTGCTGTCAATCACTGTCACATCACAGGGTCTCTATCTCTCTCTCGACAGAAGCTTATACCCATCAGTGTTTGCCCTCAGTGCTTCCCTATCAGTGCTTGCCTATCAGTGCTTGCCTATCAGTGCTTGGCTATCAGTGCTTGCATATAAGAGGTTGCCAAACAGTGCTTGTGCGACAGTATCTGGCTCTTTCGGACTCGTTTCCTGACTATTGGCATCTTGTGCTCTTAACTGGCTTACCCTTTGGGTTGACATCCACCGCACCTCTCACCAGAAGCCCAGGGGCCAGATTCACGAAAGCACTTACCCAAGCACTTACGAACCTGTACATCTTTTCTCAATCTTTGGCGGCTTTGTTTTCAATTATTAAACAGTTAATGAGCTCCGAAGCACCAGGAGGCTGTTTATAACAATAACAACAGTTGAATGGGAAGTTTTCATCCTTGTAAACTGTTTAATAAATGTAACCAAAGCCGTCAAAAATTGAGGAAAGATGTACACGTTCGTAAGTGCTTGCGTAAGTGCTTTCGTGAATATGGCCCCAGACCAACCTTCTCCTACAGCTCCATACGGAAGGTTGGCCAATTCGAGAACTGCGTTTGGGAATCTGATTAAAAGAGTCGCTCAAGGTCTTCTATGTCATTGATGTCAGACTAAGTCTAGCACCAGCGTGGTGTCCTTATCTTTTAAACACAAGGAAGCTGGAGAAAGTTCAGAGGCATGCCACCAGACGAGTCCCAGAGCTAAGACGGATGTTTGACCAAGGAAAGGCTAAAGGAGTTAAACCTCACCTCACTGGAAGAAACAACAAAAACCTGTTGATGTGGGTTTAATGAATCCTCTCTCATTCCTCATTCCCCATGATGAATCTTCTCTCATTTCTTGATGTTCTCCCAAGGAATGAGAGAGGGACTGTAAAACACTTCTTGGAATGACATGATTACGGCAGAAAATAATCAGAGGAATAGAAAGGGCAATCGAGGACAGACTATTCCATGCGGGAAAAAAAGTGAAATAGCAGTGAATAAAAGGAAATTCGGGATAGTGAACTGATGGAATGCAATAAGAAGGGGAACAGTCGAGGCAGATTTAAGCAACGTCTATAACCCAACCACTTAAGCTGGACGGTAGGGCGGTGGTCTCGCTTCATGCAGGTCGGCGTTCAATTCCCTGACCGTCCAAGTGGCTGGGCATCATTCCTTTCCCCCCGTCCCATCCCCAAATCCTTATCCTGACCCCTTCCCAGTGCTATATAGTGGAAATGACTCGACGCTTTCTCCTGATACTTCCCTTCCTTCCATTGACACCTTTGGGTGGAGGTTTTATCAGGTCAGTAGGGTGTGGAGCCTGTATACCAGTCAGGTCAGTAGGGTGTGGAGCCTGTATACCAGTTAGGTCAGTAGGGTGTGGAGCCTGTATACCAGTCAGGTCAGTAGGGTGTGGAGCCTGTATATCAGTCAGGTCAGTAGGGTGTGGAGCCTGTATACCAGTCAGGTCAGTAGGGGTCTCAGGGAAACATGACAACAACGTACGAGATATTAAGGTGAATTGACAATGGAGGCAACGTTGAACACGAGAAACGGTAGGACCATACCGGAGGAAGGTATGCGTCTCTCCGGTAGAAAGCTGGAGAGATGCCTACCTGTTGACTACCTGTTGAAGATTTGGAGCATCACCGTCTCTGCGGCCCGGTCTCTGATCAGATCTCCACCTCAGGAAAAGCTTCAACATAAGTCGCAAGAAAAGTCAATAAGCACATTTATAATGAATACCGACGAGAAACACAGGGAGTGAAAGTCACCACAAGATGGGATGGCGGGGCTGGGGAGCTATTGCTCGACTCTGTAAACACAGCTCAATACCGCTCCTCATAAACAATTGGTGAGTACACATGCAAATTTAAACACCCACACAAACATGTTCACCACATACAGGATTCTCAAAGGATTTGATAGGGTAGATAAAGACAGTTTATTTAACACAAGGAGGCACACGTACTAGGGAACACAGGTGGAAATTAAGTGCCCAAATGAGCCATAGAGACATTATAATTTTTTTGTTAATGTCATAATAGTTAACAAATGGAATGCTTTAGGACGTGATGTGGTGGAGGCTGACTCCATACACAGTTTCACGTGTAGATATGATAGAGCCCAGTAGGCTCAGGAACCTGTACACCAGTTGATTGACAGTTGAGAGGCGGGACCAAAGAGCCAGAGCTCAACCCCCGCAAGCACAAATAGGTGCGTACAAATAGGTGAGTACATACACACACACAAATTAAATTAGAATATTCTTCCAATCTTGAAATTGCTTCTAACCATGATTAATTGCTGTGACCTGCTCCTCAGGAGTGTCCGGAAGGGGTGGTGCAAGAGGACGCCTTCAAGGAAATCTATGCCAAGTTTTTCCCACACGGAAGTAAGTATGAAGGTGTGAGGTGGTGGTGGTGTGGTGGTGGTGGTGTGGTGGTGGTGGTGTGGTGGTGGTGGTGTGGTGGTGCTGGTGTGGTGGTGGTGTGGTGGTGGTGGTGTGGTGGTGCTGGTGTGGTGGTGGTGGTGTGGTGGTGCTGGTGGGGTGGTGGTGTGGTGGTGGTGGTGTGGTGGTGCTGGTGTGGTGGTGCTGGTGTGGTGGTGAGACCTGTGTGTTTGTCCTCTCTGTGTGTCCCGTCGTCTCCTCTGCTCCCCGTCTTCACCCAACACCTTGTAGGGAGTTTTATTTGTTGTGTGTTTGTTCCGGTAGTTTTAGGTTCTCTTGCAGTACCTGCGGTCACGCCTCGGGCGGTCAGGGGGACCTGTCAACACCTCCCCCCCAGCCCTGGCAAGCACCGCGCCTCATGCTCCCTCTGCACCCTTCTTCTTCACCCTCCTCCTTCACCCTCCTTCTTCACCCTCCTTCACCCTCCTTCATGTCCCATTCGCTCGTTCGTTTACCCTTAGGTTCTCCAGCACATCATCACTTCACCATTATTATTTTTTGCTGTACCTAACTGGCTGACATATAGTTCCCTGTCCTCGCCTCCATCCTGCCCACACGGCCTGGATGAGAGGTGCACCAACTTATTGTTTTTTTTATTCTTGAAACTTTGTTTTTCCGACGTCATTGTTTTTGGTCACAATCTCGCTAGAAAATGATTTTTCAGAAGCTATATTAATTTTTTTCCTGAGAGACTGCCCACGAAGCTGCTGTCATATTTCATGAGCTGGCTAGACTGCCCTTCGTCTTTACATTCTTAAGGCAGCGGCCAGTAAGTGGAAGACTGTTGAAGCACTTTGTGATAGCCGTGGCACAGTTACTAGAAGCACTTTGTGATAGCCGTGGCACAGTTACTAGAAGCACTTTGTAACCCCTGATATTTATATTGTCTAAAAGCACTTCTTTTTTATCCCCCTCCCCCTGGGACAGTGAATATAAGCACTCTATCATCATCTAATTCTGTGGTATAATCTCTGTTTTGTCCTCGATACACAACCCAAGTTAGCACTAGCCTCTGCTGCACAGGTGCCTCGTGCAGAGAGACCTCTTGGAGGTGCTCTTGCAGGTGGCTCCTGAAGGTGCGACTCCTTGGTGCCTCCAGGAGCTTCCTGCATGGGCCTCATACAAGTGCTTTTGTAGCTGCCACCCTCCGGTACGACTCTTAGATGGTTCGTGCAGATGTGTAGTGGTGTCTGTGCCACCAGCACGGGCTCCCATGACACCTGCAGGGGGCCCCACATGACTGCATATCTCTCATGACACCTGCAGGGGGCCCCTTCCATAACTGCATGTGTCTCACTACCCTCTCTTAATGTTCCCTCCTAAGGTACAAGGTGTGTGTATTCTCCCAGGTAACTTACCCTTCACAATGAATGACATACATGTTTAATATCATTAATAATAATACATTTTGTCCCCCACCTGAGAGCAACTAGCTTCCCCCCCTCCCCCCTCCCTCTTCTTCTTCTCCTTCTCTCCCCTCCCCCTTCTAGAATTCAGTCTCCCCTCCCCTTCCCTCCCCCCTAATTTAATGATTTTATCAGTGGATACTGATAGAATTTTGTTTGTAGTCACTGTTTCTCTCTCAGTAAAACTTGGTGCCTCTTCCTGTGCTGCATCGGACAGTCGGTACGTACAGCTTGTGAGAAACTTTGCCCCTTTTTATTTTAGTTTACATTAGTTATAGGACAATTAGTGTGCACTTCTATTATATTGAAATGTGTAGTTAAGTACATGTTTTGTGATATATCCGTAGAGAGCATATCATTTTGTAACACACACATATATATATATATATATATATATATATATATATATATATATATATATATATATATATATATATTTATATATATATATATATATATATATATATATATATATATATATATATATATATATATATATATATATATATATATATATATATATATATATATTGTAAATACTTTTGACTTTTGTACATACAGTCTGAGGCTCTTCTGAATGACAATGCATTTAAAGCTCGGTACTGTTTTTATGATAAGATATAGTTAGCATTCCATTTTAATGTTAGCCAGTATGAAGCCAGCGGCGTCTTCCAAAATGCTTTTCTGCCCAGACAACCACATCTGTGTTCATCTCTGGTCGAGTGTCTTATGGTTGATGTATATATATGGCGACCTGGCGACTGGGTTAGTGAAGAGCCCTCAGGGTGTTGTCGGAGCATTGTATCAGTGGTGGCACCATCACTGGTGGCACAGTGCCACCGTCACCAGTGGTGAACGACGCGCGCTAACAATTAGGATGACAATGACTGTCAGTGGTAATCGTCCCAACATGTCACTGAGCTTAACAGCCATCCAGAGCGGCTCTTGATGATTTAATTACCTCCCATGCCAATGTTTTCAGACTCTATCAACACCACACACACACACACACACACACACACACACACACACACACACACACACACACACACACACACACACACACACACACACACACACACTAATAACCTGCTACATTGAGATCCACAAACAGCAAGGTTTTTCATGCAACGAACATCAACATTATCGATTAAGACAAGCCTGGATTCGCATATATATACATTATAAAAACATATATATATATTTATATACCATACATAATGGTAAACCATCTGGGATGTGTGTTTGTCTGGCTGGCATGGTTGTGGACCTTCCTTCACCTGGGTCTGATCCTCATGTCATGTTCTTCAACAAAGATACTGTTAATAAAGGGAAAAATTTAACATAATCTCGAGTTCATCAAGTACTCAATAGAGACTCCAATAGAGTCCTCAATAGAGATAGAGTACTCAATTGTTCTGTCCATGGTTCTGGAGGATGTGTATAACATATAACCTGCTCACACTTAGATGATTAAGCATCAAAAATAGGCTTTAATTATTAGATCATCTATTAGATGCTCTAATAATGATGCTCATCTAAGATGAGCATCATCATTATTAGATCATCATTAAGATGCTAATGGTGCATCTTAATTGCTGTTGGGATGTTTTATGGCGTCACGTATAGCGTGATTAATTAAGTAAGCCATTTGTTATTGGTAGTAACTCTTATGTTTTTTACGAATCGTCGTTCGGTTTTATTTTATTAATTGGAACATTTACTTTTCTTTGATAGCTCCGTTTTCTATGGGCCATCAGCCATGGGAGTTATGAAAGTATAGTCTTAAATATAATTTAATTAAATACGTAAATAAATACGCTAGACCTGCTATAGTGCCAGGAACACCGCTTTATTGGTCCAGAGTACTGGGAACACCGCTTTATTGGTTCAGAGTACTGGGAACACCGCTTTATTGGTCCAGAGTACTAGGAACACCGCTTTATTGGTCCAGAGTACTGGGAACACCGCTTTATTGGTCCAGAGTACTGGGAACACCGCTTTATTGGTCCAGAGTACTAGGAACACCGCTTTATTGGTCCAGAGTACTGGGAACACCGCTTTATTGGTCCAGAGTACTAGGAACACCGCTTTATTGGTCCAGAGTACTGGGAACACCGCTTTATTGGTCCAGAGTACTGGGAACACCGCTTTATTGGTCCAGAGTACTGGGAACACCGCTTTATTGGTCCAGAGTACTGGGAACACCGCTTTATTGGTCCAGAGTACTGGGAACACCGCTTTATTGGTCCAGAGTACTGGGAACACCGCTTTATTGGTCCAGAGTACTGGGAACACAGCTTTATTGGTTCAGAGTACTGGGAGCACAGCTGGGCTGGTCCACAGCACTGGGAGCACAGCTGGGCTGGTCCACAGCACTGGGAGCACAGCTGGGCTGGTCATCAGCACTGGGAACACAGCTGGGTTAGTCCAAAGTGTCTGGAACACTTTTGTGATGTCCAGAGACACTTCTAAAATTATTCAGAGTGCCAGAGGACACTTGTGGCACTCCAGGGTGACAGAAACATGGATGAGAGGGGGTCGAACAGCGAGAACAACGAGGCAGGTGGTGTTAGCCGTCGGCCAACATGAAGTATACATCAAAGCCTCGAGGTGTCACGAGTGTGTTCAACACGTCCCACGTCCAAAAGAGGAGGAGCCGTGATGGGGGTTCGAACCTAGTGTTCGAGAAACATTCGAACCTGACCGGAGCCATCGAGGAGTAACAAAGGAAGAGAGAGACCACTCATGCACTGGCCACCAGACAAACAGATGACCTGACACTAGGCCTGACATAGAGTAAAAAAAAAGCTTGCTTCTTCCCAAAACAAACCCAGAGTGATATAGGTGTTAAGATGTGGTGGGCAGGAACGCATTTCCCAAGATGCTGAAACAAATAATGTGTAACATATCTCCTTTCAGACTCCAGTTTGTACGCCCATCATGTATTTAAGGCCTTCGACCTAAATAGCAACGGACAGATTAGTTTTAGGGTGAGTATAATGCTTATGGCCTAGCGTGGTGCTGGTGGTGTGTCCATTACATTGTATTCTGTGCATTTGTGCTGTGCATACATGTTGGATCCATGTGTGTAATGGTGTTGGTGGTGTATTTGGACTGTGTCTATGTGGTGATACACATTAATAACGGTGTCTGTATTTATATGTGTCCTTATGTTGGTGTCGTATATATGTAATTTCCATATGTGTCCGTGTTGAAATGCTGTTTTTAGTCATATTCGTGTTTGTTAGCGCAGTCTTCCTTTTAGTAGATGTGTTAATGTAATCTGTGGTGTTGTAATCAAGTCTTATATTCATTTGTTTCCAGATTATTTTATGTTGATATGTTTTTATTTGTTCTGATGATTCGTTAATGTGATTTCAATTGCACGATGAATTGTTCTTTCCGTCTCAGAAATACACAACGTTTGAAAAAACTGTTGACCAGTGTAATGTGAGTTGATATGTTCCTTTGTACTCACGTATTTGAGCTTGCGCGGGTTGAGCTTTGGCTCTTTGGTCCCGCCTCTCAACCGTCAATAAATCAAACATTCTTGTTGATGCTCTGGTGATGAACAGGTGCTTGTTCTAGGCTGCGGGCTGTCGGGTTAGTTACGGAACAAATATTCTAAGTCTGTAATGTAGCGGAATTTGTGATGTGTTAAAGCTTTGTCAGGGATGTGCGTGGTCTGCTTCAGGGATGTGTGTGACCTGCGTCAGAGCTCTCTGTGTGTGTGTGTGTGTGTGACCTGCGTCAGACCTCTGTGTTTGTGTGTGTGTGACCTGCGTCATAGCGGTGTTTGACTTGCGTCAGAGCTGCGTATGACCTATGTTAGGCCTGCGTGGAACTTGCGTCATGACTGTATATGGCCAGCTTTACGGTTGGAGTGTGACGTGAAGCAACCCTGCGTCCTCACTACTCACCTGTCTCTCTCTCTCATGTTGAACCTCAGCGCCTCTTCCACCTCTCAGGGATCACGCCACAAAAACGCTCTTCCAAATCGTGTTCATAATGTTCAATTAATGTATATTTCCACGGTCGTTTTCCTTCCTCAAAGTTGCATGTAAGTGGACACTTAATGATGCCATTGACAGTATTTACCGTCAAGAAGACAGGAATGCTAAAGTGTTCACTTAGAATTGACTTTAAGTAACTCCTGCTGCATTGCCTATTAAAATTTATTATATAAACCAGCAAAGCTTTTTATTTTGGTTTAATTTGGATAATAAAATAGAGTTTTCTAATCTTGTACAATACGTGTACTTCCTTTTTAAGCTTGTACTACGGTAAGTAGATGCTATAGTGAGTTTGTGTATACTCAGGTGCTAGTATAGTAAGGTATACTTAGGTATACTTGAATATACAAGAAACACTTGTCCAAGATATTAGCATTGGTATGTAACCTCAGGCAGTGAAGTATACACGCATTTCCCGGATGTTATATCAATTAAATATTTGGAGTCATCAGTGTATTTCTGCAGCGGAGGCGCATACAGGTGTATGACATACTTATCACTGTTAGTTATCTGGGCGGTGTATGACTTCATTCTCTTCTGCTTTCGTACATATTTGCCCATCTCTCTCTCTCTCTCTCTCTCTCTCTCTCTCTCTCTCTCTCTCTCTCTCTCTCTCTCTCTCTCTCTCTCTCTCTCTCTCTCTCTCTCTCTCTCTCTCTCTCTCTCTCTCTCTCTCTCTGTGTGTGTGTGTGTGTGTGTGTGTGTGTGTGTGTGTGTGTGTGTGTGTGTGTGTGTGTGTGTGTGACGCACATATTCCTCTTCGTACCAGAGGAAAGAAAGGTAAAATTAAGAAAAATTATTTATTTAGTCTTCTCATAAATGCGTATTATTCTGGTATATTAATACTTAACCTAACCTAAACCATTACCTATAAATGTAAACCTTATATGTTTTAAGTTATTGATATTATATCAAAACTCTCACTTTAATTATCTACCTGCTTACTTTGTATTAATACTTTTTGATATTTGACATAAAATATTGCCATAACTGTTTTCGCCCCATTGATATATATATATATATATATATATATATATATATATATATATATATATATATATATATATATATATATATATATATATATTTACGTATCTGTTAGGAGAGACGACACATGGCAAACATGATCACAACATACATAATACTAATATGGATTGAGAGTATAGGCAAGAACCAGTGAAGACTTCTGGGAGAGCATATACCCCTCGACCCGGGATGGGTCAGAGGAAGAAGAAGATCCTCTGCAAAGCTCTTCAGTCCCTTCACTTCTTAAAATAGCTTCCTTCCGCTCATTTGTTCAGCCTTTCTCTGCCTCATGCGGTCGTCGACCCGTTTTTGTCCTCAGCGACCAGTTTGTGTCCTCAGTCAGCGACCAATTTGTCCCAAGTCTATGACCAGTTTCGGGTCTCAGCAGCCAGTGCAACCTGAGGTAACTTGCAGACTAGCACCAAGGAGACGGCGCACTTTTCGAACCAATTTAACTCTTTGCAGTGTGCTCTGATTTTATAGTTAAATGTGGCGGGTATTCACCGCAGACTTGAATGAGCTATTGATAGATCAAGAATAATGGTAGTTATTTTGCTGATGTTGGTAAAAGTCCCTTCTCGTGTAATTGTATGGCTACCATGGCTACTCGTGTAATTGTATGGCTACCATGGCTACTCGTGTAATTGTATGGCTACCATGGCTACTCGTGTAATTGTATGGCTACCATGGCTACTCGTGTAATTGTATGGCTACCATGGCTATTCGTGTAATTGTATTCACTTTATTGTACCCACTTATTTGTGGTCCTGGGGTTGAGCATCAGTTCTACATTTGAAGCTGTGAATGGAGTCTTTCTCTACCTCTACACGTCGTAGCGCATTCTATTTTTAACTCTTATGGTACTTTACATGATAATTATAATTTCTCTCTGGCTTATTTTGGTTAGTATTTGCCTGTCTTTCATTGTTCGTTTACTATCCATTCCAGATAGTCTATTCTTTTCTGCCTGTCCTTTCCATTGGGAATTTAGTATGAGTTCCAGTCTCCAATGTGTCTTCCCTTTTCCACAGATTTTAGGTTTAAATCCTTGAGTTTCCCCTCATAATACATTCCTCTCAGCTCTCGGACTAGTCTGGTGGCATACTTCTGAACTTTTTTCCAAGTTTATTATGCGTTTAACGAGGTAAAGACTTCCTCGTTATGTGTTTAACGAGGTAAATCTTGGTGCTGCATATTTCAGAATTGGTCTGACATGTGTGATATACAGGGTCGTGAATGGGCTCTTATTTGGGTTTCTAAAGGCAACTGCCATGTTGACCAACCAATAATACTCAGCTAATGATATCTAATCGATATAGGCTTCAGGAAACACGTTCAGTGTGTTATCAACCTCCGTTTTTTTCCTAATTGCAAAAAAAAGGAGTTATCTCCCATTTGGTACCTTGTGGTCGGTCTCCAGTTCCCAGCACCGAGCTTCATTACTCTGTGCGCTTGATCAGTTAAACTCTAATGGCCACTTTTTAGACAATTCCTCTGGTTTATTCGTACTTTTGTTGTTTTTTCGTCATAATCAGACATTGAGAAAAAATTCTACTCACTCTGGAAGCATATATGAGAAACTAGTGAAATATATGACAAACTAGAAACACACACATGCCACCGCTCTTAGTATACCCCCCCACACACACATGCCACCGCTCTCAGTATACCCCCCCCCCCAAGCCATGCCACTCTATAATAAGTATATCGAAAACAGATAATGAAAATATTCCGAATGCAGCCGTATACAAACCCTAATTAGAGACCCAAAATGTTTGGTAAAACATATATTTAGACGAGTGAGGCGGAGCAGTTTGTTACGCCTTCTGAACATACTTTTACACGTCAATATTTGTGAACACCAATAATTGGAAAATGCTTAAAACTTATGGACTCAGACCAGACCATTTTATATTCAGAAGAGTGTAGCGGAGGCACAGGAGAGTGTAGCAGAGTGACACCTGAGGCATGAGTGTACAACACACCAGGTGTGTATGGCACATCATGCAAGGTTTCACTCATCGTCAAATATTAACCACACACACAGTGTCCAGCACCGTGCGCAAGGCGACGTACGGGTACGACAGATAGAGTTGTTCAGAGTGAAAGAATTAGAGGAGAGAACAACAAGAGGAACAGTGGAAGAGTGATAGAGTAAGTTGACAAGATGTCATCGACGTCACTGAGAGTGCCTCGTTACTGTCTGGGGTTGGAGACTTGTTTCATAGTAAGTTGGGTTAATCTTGAGGTTATCTTGAGATGATTTCGGGGCTTTTTTTTTAGTGTCCCCGCGGCCCGGTCCTCGACCAGGCCTCCACCCCCCAGGAAGCAGCCCGTGACAGCTGACTAACACCCAGGTACCTATTTTACTGCTAGGTAACAGGGGCATAGGGTGAAAGAAACTCTGCCCATTGTTTCTCGCCGGCGCCTGGGATCGAACCCAAGACCACAGGATCACAAGTCCAGCGTGCTGTCCGCTCGGCCGACCGGCTCCCTGGGTTAAATATGGGTTAACCGACTGGGTTAAATTGGTAATTGTTGGCGATATTGACCAGAATATGTAAGTCCTTCATATTAACCCTTCCCTCCTTCCCTGTCTCCCTCCCTCCTACCCCTCCCCCCCTTTCTAATCCCTCCTCCCCTCCCTTCCCTCCCTCCCCTCGGTCAGGAAAACGTGTCCCTCAAGGTCCCTAAGGTCGTGTTGTGCACGGTGTTGTCACCGGAGTATCGCCCTTAAAGCCCGTAGCCTGGACAGTCCCCTGGCCAAGCTGGTAGTGGCCATTGACCTTCGTCTCTGTCTGTCGTTATTGCCCTCACATTGTGTCCTGCTAGGACGGCATATTGCCCCCACATTCTTCCCCGCTAGAGAGGGAACATTACTCACATTCTTCCCCGCTAGAGAGGGAGTATTACTCACATTCTTCCCCGCTAGAGAGGGAATATTACTCACA